GTTCATCTGGGGAATTTTCTTCTTTCACATTTTTTTTTATGTTGATGTTGTTTCGCAACGAATTACGCGGATAATTTGATTCAAGTGTCTTTTTTTTGTTGTTGTCGGAAAGGAAATTAATCATTAACAATTCATAGTATATCTCGAAAAGTAACAATAATAGAAGAACGTATAAATATTCAAATGAAAGCTTAATGAATAGGCTTTAATTTGTGTTTAATTGCATCTATGTGCTGTAGCCATTATCAAAAAAATTGAAAGAATCTAAAATAAATTTAAAAAACAATGACTTACATTTCGTCGTATATTTTGTGAAGTAAAAGCGTTAGATTAATGTTTGAACATTGATATGAAAGCTAAATATAAATGGAATTAACGCAGTTAGAGATTATCGAATAGTTCGATGTCAAAGTTGAAAAAAAAATAGATGTTAATTACGGAATTTGCGCGATTGTAAAACAAACATGTTTCCGGTGTGTGCGTGTTTTATATAAATTTGTGTGGGGAAATAGAGAATCGGAATGGAAAAACAAATGTAATAAAATTAAAATGAGAGAGAAAAGAGGGTGCGCCCCCTCGTTGCCGCAAACGAGAAATCAATTTCGAAGATTTACGACCGTCGCATTTCAACGTTTTCTAAGTTGTGCAACAAGTAAATAGATAAAAACAAATGAAAAACAGAAACAGAAACAAACGAAAAAGAAAAGACGTTTTAAAATTATTGAAAAATCTCGTTTGGAAAAAGGATTTACCACGTTCGAATTGAATGCACAATTCCCACAAACGCGCAGAAATCCAATTACACGAGGGAAAAATTGATTTTATTTAGTGGACAAAAATGCACTCATCGTTACGCAATTAGTTGTATCTTATGTTTAAAAAAAACTCAAATTTTATATACTAATTTACGAAATATATTATAGAGTCAATGAACTTGATTGAGGTGTGCGTTTTTTTTTAATTAAAATGAAAATCCATTTGCTAATTTTGGAAGCGTGTGCTTATTTTTATATAATTGATCACATTTAGTACTTTTTTTTTAAATAGATATAAATTTTCTTGAAGTTGGTATAATTCATTACACTGACAGTAATTTTTATGTTGGTAGCTGTAATTATATACTTATCTGTTTTAAGAAGAAAGCTGTAAGAGAAATAGTATACATAATAATAATGAAACACTAATGTAATTTGTGTTTAAACGTTTTTATTTAAAATAAAAATCAATAAATTAATCATCCACTTATTATTGTTTTTTTCTTTTCTGTTATTATTGTGTTGGCATCGTTTTGCTGCTGTCTTCACTGCTGTTCGAAGGTTTGCAAATTGCGGTGCGATCAGTGAGATCGGTGTGTCGTGTAACGTAAACCCTCGCAGCTGGTGTCAGCTGAGAAACAAAATTGGCAACGGCAACCTCCGGCCTCCATGTACTCGTACTTTGCAGCCGACGGAAGCGCTCCGTCCTCGCAGTTCCTCAAGTTGGCAACGGCTTTGTTCCTTCCGTAATGCATGCAGACCGGATGCGATGACTTCTTGTACGGAAACCGCCAATCGGAGATCTGCAAAAAAAAAAAACAAAAAAAAAAAAGAAAGATTGACATTAACACGTTAAGGACGGCGCTTTTCGGGTTGCCTGCCCCCAAAAAAATTTTCGTGGAGAGAAACGTCAAATATCTTACATCAATTATAACTTTTAAACGTTTAAATTTTTCTTATACATTTTTTAATGATATTGAAGCAATTTATAATAATTGTGGGAAAAATATTGAAATTTTCA